CCCCTGCGTAGAATGCGAATTGGCTTGATCTTGTGTGACTCTTGTGCAGGCAGCAACAGCATCTGGGAAAGCCGTTCTCTCTTTAGGGATGATTACATTCAGCCCCTGGAGAAATGATTTTCTGCATGTGTACGTGTGATGGAGGCGGTGCGGGTGGTGAGTGTGTGCACGTGCATATAGAGGCCCAAAGTTGACATCTCGTACCTTCCTTATCACTATCCACCTTGTGTACCAAGGCAGGGTGTCATGGCAATTTTATGTCAACTTGACAGAAACTCTAGTCATTTGGGAAGAGGGAACCTTAGCTGAGAAAATGCCCCCAACAGATTAGCCCATGGGCAAATTTATGGTGTGTTTTCTTGATTGTTGATTGATGTGGAAGGGCCCAGCTTCCTGTGGGCAGTGCTGCCCCTGGGCTGGTGGTCTCATAAAGCAAATTGAGCAGTCCATATGGGAGAAAGTTAGTAAGCAGCACCCCTGCATGGCCTCTGCATCAGCTCCTGCCTCTAGAGTCCTCTCCCAACCTCCCACAGTCCTGGACTGTGATGTGGAACTATAAGCTAAAATAAACCCTTTTCTCCCAAAGTTGCTATCACGGCAATAGAAACAATAATAAAGACATAAGATTTCTTGCTGAATCTGGAGCGAGTTTGGCTAGTGTAGCTAGCCAGCTTGCTCTGGGGAATTGGTCTGTATTCAGTTTGCTGAGCTTACAGGTGACCACCACTTCTACCTGGCTTTTATGTGGGTTCTGGGCATCTCAACTTTTGTCCTCATACTTGCCTACCAAGTACTCTCTCCACTAAGCTATCCCTCCCGATGGAGGAGTTCTTTCCTGGTAACATTAGCAGTTCTAGGATTGGTCTTTTTGTATCACTTGTGTTTTAACTTTGTCGTGTGGTTTTACATATTTAGGGGGAACAGTGCATGTCTGGTATAGTTATATAATATATAATGATCACATCAGGGTAAACTTTTCTTAAAAATACAATTTGCTTTTATAACAGCTTTAACTGTGCAGGAAAGTCAGGAAGATGGTTCACTAATGGATCTTGCACTAGGGCAGCTGGCTGCCTGTCACACCGTGATACCAGTAGCTAAAGTCCACACTGACTTACAAAACTTTAATTTTTCCCTGAAGATCCTATTCAGAGCTAGCTTTGGTCATCCTGTCTCTGGAGTTTCCTCTAGACAGTGACCATTTCTTAGACTCTCCTTATTTTTCACTACTTTGACATTCAGGCAATTTAAGGATCCTCCAGTTTGGGATTTCCTGGTGTTTTTCTTGTGGCTAGACAGAGTCCCAAAAGTTTGAGAGGATAACCGCAGAAGTACAGACTTCATCATCTGGCTGAGAGAGTGGGTGTCTCCGCTCTGAAGTTAGTCTTTCCTTTCCTTGGAAAGGGAGTCACTAAGAAGGAGTACATTGTTAAGAGATGGAGCATCATAAGGAAGTCACCATGCAGCTGTTCACACCTAGAGGATGGTGTGTTGCAAGTTGGAAGTCATTATGTAGCAGTTCACACCTAGGGGAGGTTGTTGCAGGAAGGATGTCGCTATGCAGCTGTTCACACATAGAAGATAGTGTGTTGCAAGTAGGAAGTCACCATGCAGCAGTTACAGCTAGGGAATGGTGTGTTGCAGGCAAGAAGTCACCATGCAACTGTTCACACCTAGGGGAGGTACTTTTCAGGTAGGAAGTCACCATACAACTGTTCACACCTAGGGCATGGTGTCACCATGTAGGCAATCACTCTTACAGGGTGGAATATGGTGGTTTTGCTATATATCATTGAAGATGGGAAGTGTTACCTAGATAAGTTATTTGAAATTTCTTTGTGTAGAATATTTATCTATTCTCCATCTACTTCTCAGTTCAATTATTTTGATAAGTATTTAACCAAAGACTGATTCTGTTGCTGAAACTTTTGAGAACCCTTGCATTTGGCTCTCTGCTCTTGATACCTCTCAATGTGTTTATTTTGAGCACTCCATTACTTCTTGGGCACCAAGATTCACATGTACCCCCCCCCCCAGTGTGACCTAGAGTGACTTATTTCTCCAAGGAGTCTTGTTCTTTTTATTAGAAAGTGGAATCATACATGACTTAGTGTGCTTGCTGCTTCTGGAGCTGTTGTTGCTTCCAAGCTCTGCCAGAGATTTGTATATTACCAACCTTCTTATATGCATATGTATGAATATCTCTCTATATAGTTATCTGAGTCTGCGTTATACTAAATAAACATGGATTACTATGTCCTGACCACCATCTCACCCATGATCTGTTGGTGTCATGGAATATTAGGCCCCCATCTTGCTTGGCTCTCATTTTTCACTCCAATAGTGCCTTGGTCACGCCATCTCTTCACAACAATAGAAAAGTAACTAAGACAAATGGTTTCTTGGAAGTTTTGTACATAGTACCCTGTGGCATCCCAAATTCACAAGTACTTTTCAAAATCCTATTCTGTATTCATTAGTGAAGGAAAGGTTTCAGTGGTTAAGAGGACTTGTTCTTTCAAAAGACCCAGGTTTGGTTGTCAGCACGCATATGGTGGCTCACAGCCATTGTCAGCTTCAGTTCCAGGGGATCTGATGCCCTGTTCTCACCTCTGTGGGCACATACATACATACAGGCAAAGCACTCATATACATAAGATAACTAAATCTACAAAAATATTAAAGTGGATCCTAATATACCTACTAATACACATCATATATTTGTATATTTATTTATACATCTTGAATTTATTTGTATGGTTTAAAATATCCATGTTATGGTATCAAAAATCAGAAGCTAACACTAAGATGCTTCAAAATAAAATTTAATAATGGTTGGGCCATATTTTCAGTCTTCCATAGTAGGAGAATGAAAGTAGCCCAGATTAAAAGCACAGCAGTCTCTTTATACCAAGTAAGCAAGTGATTAAAAGTGGAATTTTGCAGTTATTTTTTATGATCATAGGAAAGGGACATGTTATAGGTTTATGGTTAGACAGTTAACATACTATGAAACATCTTATGGTCAGTCAATTCTCAGAACCATAGAAACAGTTTATGATATGATTCACAAGATTATTGGGGAAGAACCACCTAACATTGTTAACTAAAGAGAAAATGGAGTCAACTTTCCCTTACAATATATGATAAAAGGTATATGGCTTTCTATATAAGTATCATTTGGTTGACATATATTTATTAAGAAGCAGTGATTTTTTTTCCTGTTTTCTTTTAAAGGAATAGTTGATTCCCCATGACCCAAGGTTACTCTGTGAAGTTGATTTCTCAATATTTCCCTAAATAAGGTGGTAGCTTTTTAGACTGCTTTACTTACATTATTTCCAGACCCAGCGATTTGAAGGCTGTTTTCTTTCTTTATTTTTTTAAATTTATTAAAGACTTTTGTCTCTTCCCCGCCACCGCCTCCCATTTCCCTCCCCCTCCCCCAGTCAAGTCCCCCTTCCTCATCAGCCCAAAGAGCAATCAAGGTTCCTTGCCCTGTGGGAAGTCCAAGGACCACCCACCTCCATCCAGGTCTAGTAAGGTAAGCATCCAAACTGCCTAGGCTCCCACAAAGCCAGTACGTGCAGTAGGATCAAAAACCCATTGCCATTGTTCTTGAGTTCTCAGTAGTCCTCACTGTCCGCTATGTTCAGCGAGTCCGGTTTTATCCCAGGCTTTTTCAGACCCAGGCCAGCTGGCCTTGGTATACAGGCAAATAGACACTAAAAGGTAGAGTCTCTTCCTCCTCTTTAAAATGAGAATTACAGAAACCAGTATGTTCTAGATTGCTTATTCCACAGAAACCAGTACATTCAGCTGGGCAGTAGTGGCGCACACCTTTAATCCCAACACTCGAGGCAGAGGCAGGCGAATCTCTGTGAGTTTGAGGCTAGCCTGGTCTGCAGAGTGAATTCCAGGGCAGCCAGGGCTGTTACACAGAGAAACCCTGTCTCAAAAAAACAAGAAAAAAAAAAAACCAAACAAACCAAAAAAGAAACCAGTACATCCTGGGTTGGTTATTCTTCAGAAGCCAGTGTGTTCGATTGTGTATTCTTCGGGAAGGCGTATGTTCTAGAGTGCTTGTTCTTTGTCACTGGCTGGCATGTGGAGATGGTCAATCTCACCCCATTCACTGTCTCAGACAACCTTAGATGTTTCTACAGTGCAAACTAAGCAACTTTAGCCACTACCAACGCTTGTGACTTCAGGGAACTTACTTTCCCCATTCATTGTAGAAAGAGTACCCTGGGTTACCTTTTAACACTCTTTCCCTTAACCCCACGAGAAATGGAAAACTGAAAATGTCTAACTGTAAAGTTGCCCCAGGGATGAAGTGTGTGTGAGCCATACCTGGAGGAACTTCCCTCCCTCTGGTTCTTGTACAGCACGTGGCCCTCCTGGGGTGGCTCTAGGTACAGCACATGGCCCTCCTGGGGTGGTTCTGGGTACAGCACGTGACCCTCCTGGGATGGTTCTAGGTATAGCACGTGGCCCTCCTGGGATGGTTCTAGGTACAGCACGTGGCCCTCCTGGGGTGGTTCTGGGTACAGCACGTGACCCTCCTGGGATGGTTCTAGGTATAGCACGCAGCCCTCCTGGGGTGGTTCTAGGTACAGCACGTGGCCCTCCTGGGGTGGTTCTAGGTACAGCAGTGGCCCTCCTGGGGTGGTTCTAGGTATAGCACGTGGCCCTCCTGGGGTGGTTCTGGGTACAGAACGTGACCCTCCTGGGGTGGCTCTAGGTACAGCACGTGGCCCTCCTGGGTTTTTCTTGTATAGCATGGTGCCCTCTTGCGGGTCCCTGAGTAGGTGTGAAGTTCTGAGTCTGGGGCAGTCTAGTTCTTCCCCTCCGTGTGGGCTGCTCCTACCCCACTGTCTGATCCTAGGGCTGGCATGGTCCCTGGGCTACTACTGTCCAGGAGGTGCCATCCTACCGTCTCGCCACATCTTCACCTATAGCCTTGCTCACGTGGTTATCTTGCTGTCCTTCTTTTTCAGAAGTGCGTTACAGAAGAGTGTTTCTTTTTTGAACGACTGGAATCTAATAACTACAATACTTACCGGTCAAGGAAATACTCCGGTTGGTACGTGGCACTGAAACGAACTGGGCAGTATAAACTCGGATCCAAAACGGGACCTGGGCAGAAGGCCATACTGTTTCTTCCCATGTCTGCTAAGAGCTGATTCACTTTAGAAACTATTAATGAGAGAAACGAATGTACGCAACTAAGTTTGGACGCCTGGATAAAAACTCATTATGTAACAGTAAGATACTTAACCGTTACCTCAGTAAAGAAAAGCAACAATTTTTGGAAAAAGTTTAGAATTCTCCCTTTTATAGCTTTAGTTGTGACCCAGTGATGATCAGAGCCACAATATTTTTCATTTATTTTCTTTATTAGAAAAGAGGATTTAAAGCGATGTGCATTTACAAATTTCCATCATGGAAATCATGTATGTGAGAAAGAAAGCTGGTGCCAGGTATGAGCCGCAGACTGTGCCCACCTTTGTTTCACTCAATCTGTCCCCGTGGTGGCTGTGTAACTCTCCGGCAGTTCCCTGTGATAGAGTTTGTAGAACAGGCCTGTGTACACTGCCGGGAGTTCCTCCATGCTGAGGTCAATTTTGTCAAACCCTTCCCTGTGTCCATATAGCAACAGCTTAGCTACCCTGCTGGTTATAGGGGTTGTGTTTTTAGTCCTGGCCAGGTTTTCTAGATCCATCCATTCACACGTCAAGCATTCCTGCTGGCAGAAGTTGATAGTGAAGGAACACGGCTGCAGGCGGCAGATCAGGTACAAGTCTGACTTCCCGAAGGCTCCAGGGTGCCTGTGCTGCTGCCGGATGCTCAGCAGAGACCTGAATTCTGACTTCACCCCAGTCTCTTCAAACACCTCTCGGACTGCTGTGTCGCCTACGTGAAAGAGAGAAACAAACAGAGATTTCGTTCCTAGAGATGCTGTCAAAGGTTTTCAGTGACAATCTGGAAGGTTAAAAGCAAAACTTTGTCTTCGAACTGCTTTCTTGACGTTGTGAGATGCACTTTGTATTTAAGGTGCCTCTGAGACACTGAGGGTCTCCTTGAAGGCTATGCATGCTTCAACACATCATCTTAGCCTCTTCCTGCTCTGTTTCCCAGAGGCAAGAAGACACTTGCAAACACAGCTGCAGTTAACCTTCTGCTAAATCCTTCAGGAATCTGTAGTGCTGAGCTTACTTGAATGAGCAGTGAATTGACTCTGACTTGTTTGTGATCTAAGCCCACTGCCCCACAGGGCAAGGCCCTTCACCATGGTTATGCCCCCTCCTAGCCACCGGTGGAACCTAGCCTGATTTGGAAACTGCTTTCTCTTGAGATCAGATTCCAAAGAACTTGGGATTCAACCCCTCAACACCAAAATGCAATAGCTGTTTAATCAAACATTTTCATAAGGCTAGAAGTGCACATAATTTTATAATACAACAAGGGTTTTCACATTTTATAAATATTTTTAATTAAATACAAATTTCCATGGCAGGACTTTTATTGCCATTAACATAGATTTATGTCCAGTTTATCAAGACACCCAGGAAGACTGCCTGAATGGACTTCACTAGTTCTGATGCTCTATAGCTTCCTGTCCTAATCGCTTTTCTGGTCCTCTTTAGAATTATTATAGATTCTTTAACACCTTCTAATGCCTCGCTGGATGTTTGCCAAATAGCACATAAGTTTGTCTTGCCAGTAAATCGACTAATAATGTCGATGCGATGAAGAGCTATCAAAAGCACATAGTTCCTGTGCACACAAACCATAGACTGTCTTCCCTGCCCCCTGGGCACATACCCGCACCTAAGGCATGCTCTTGTTTCTAAGAAACAGTCCTAGAAAGGCTCACAGAAACAATATCTTACTCTAAAACACAAGACATCTATCCACCATTCTTTAATTATATACTGACTTCCCTGTGACTGAGATTTGTCCATAGGTTAAGCATGGTTAGAAATTACATTTCATAACCGAAAGCACCAAGACAAGGCATACCTTGTCTACACCATGTAGATACCTGCTTCGGCGTGTGTGAGATGCTGGGTTCAGATCCTGGTACCACATAATGAGAGGGAGGGAACAGTGGCATCAAAGAACATTCTAAGCTCACAAAGTCTCTGGTAAGAAAATAGTTTTCATCTAGCATACATTATTAAATTTATTATTAAAAATTGTGGCACTAGTCTTAAATGTTTATATAGTGGCCACTAACTCTTGTTTAAACATATATAGTCTTTAATATGCATATATATATACATATATATGTATGTATCTTTAAATGCTCTGAAAATGACCTTAGGGATCCCGCTCAGTTCTTAGCACCACTAACCTGACCAGCTGTCTTAAATGACAGAAACAGGACAGGGTAAACGGGGGAGTGAGTGTCCTGCTTAGCAGTCACTATAGCGCATGGTGGCAGCAGGATAGACACTGCTTGAGTAGACCAAATAGTTTAACTTGAATCAGTGCATCACCAACTAGCCGAAACCAGAAAATGCAAGCCGTACTTTTGTTTCTGAGATGTGGGACATCCTCCCCTTACACTTCAAAATGTAAGCCTCCCCCTCAGTTCCAACGTGAATTTAAATTTATCACGATAAACTGTTGTTTCTTTTCAATTATTTTAACAGACTTTAAACTCAGCTGAAATAATAGTCACTGTGTGTGCAGAATCTAGAAGCTCATTTTTGCTGCTGAAGAGGTACATGCTAAGCATGACAGGCTGGACTGCTGAACAGTAGGACAGTGCAGAGGCTCCAATTTCTCCTGTTTTGTAGGACGTAATGATAGGTGTCTTGAGATGACCTAAGTGATGGGAAACTTTCTTTGAGCTCCCTTGGGCCCTGCTGAACATCTCTGATTGCTGAAACAGGATTTGGTTTTCACCCATGGTAATATCATATTTTAGGAAGGCATTTTGTTCCTTTGAACTGTACAAGACACCTTTAAACTCTATACTTAAAAACTTCTATTTGTTTCGCATTTTCCCAATTCAATTTCTTAAAAAATTCTTGGCATATCAATGTTTTACCTACCTACCATTATCAGAGAATGAAAGATTCCAAACAAATGAGTTCCCAAATTAACTAGCATTTATTTACTGGTATTTAACTGGCTAATTACCAAACAGTAAATATCGAACTGTTCAGGATGGCAGCATTCCAAAAGTGCAGTTCATGCTTTCCTAAACACAGGTGTCAAGAATCGAATCTCCAGGTGGTCTAAACAATCTGACTTCTTCATTAGAGTACGTGTACTTTGTCCTGGAGATCACTAGAAACAGGCTGTAGAAGAGAATTCCAAGGCTATGGTGAATACCAACTTCCGCTTTACTTTTAGTTCAGATAAGTTATTTTGTTAACCACAGATACTTAAAAAAAACGAGTAGGGCATTTAAAATGATTTAGGCTTAAAGGTAAGATTCTGGAATTATACTTAAACCTGAATTTACACATACTTAACTTGAAAATGTGTTTTTTCATTTACATCTAAGTCTGTCTGAAATTCTTAGGATCTACTGGAGTTCAAAGGAAAATAAACCCACCTCAATTCATTTGAAAAGGCATGTCCCAGGAAGGAAAGGCACATGGGGCTGCAGACGGCTTCCCCTCTGTGCAGGGTGAGAAAGCTAGACTTGAGTTACCTTGTTCACACACACTCACATACCACATAGGTAATGGGAGAAAATGAAGAAGGTGGCCTTATAGAAAAATGGCCTTGGCTCTCAGTATTTGGCACCCCTACAAAATACAGATATTTTTTTGAAGACATGGTCTAAGTAGCACAGGATGGCCTGAAACACCATCCTCCTGCCTCAGCCTCCTTAGTAGTAGGCTAAATAGGCATGTGCCATCACGCCAAGGTCCCCAGAGTACACAGTGTCAACAGACTGCCTGCCAGAGAACTCAGCGGTCAGCGAGCATCTAAAACCAAGGTTTGCTTCACACATCTGAATGTCATCAACGTGCTCATGGGTGGTTAGGAGCTGGCCACGTAAATACGTGCAGGGCATTTGGGTCTATGTAAGGTGCAAACTCAGACTTCATGGACATACACTCAAGGAGACTGCTTCGTACAGTGCTGGTTAAAGAGAAATGAGGATGTGCATGTTAAAGGAGAGATCTTTGAGAAATAATATTAGTATCTAATGTATTATTTGCTTATCAGGATAATATTGAATTTAGCCTAATGGTTTAAGGAACAGCCTAATTCTATACTTTGAAGATCAGTGACTGAGTACTTAGTTTCCATCCTATCTCCCTATAAGCTGATTTGGTGGGAGAGGGGAGATACGTCATTTCTCACTTGAGACTTCCTCATAAGGTATTTTGGGGATAATAATAAAACATATTATTATGTTTTAGATTATTCATAAATAGTTGGCAAAAATTTTAAAAGATAATTATATCACTATTTCCTTGTAGTTGGCTTTATTATATTTCAAGCTCATTTTGAAATTATTATTCACCCATATGTGACCATAATGTTGTCAAGAATTCAAAATTTAATAATTTTAGCCCTATTTGAGAAACCTTTATAGTGAACTTTACTGACAAACGTCTCAGGTCGCTCCTTTCCCTATGGCCACAGAACGCCCTGGACAGGTGTGTTAACGCTCCCCTAGGGTTGAGGTGTGCCAGAAAACGCATGCTCACATGCTCACTGTGCATCAGCACTCATGAAATCTGCCTAAAAATTTCTGACTTGGTCTGAACCAATTAGAAAATTTAAATTCTTATTCTTAGATATAAAGCAGAAAAGGAAACATGAATTTTCCAAACATTTTCAACCTTATCAGAAATATATAAATACATACCGATATCTTCTCCAGGCTCTGACAGGCCTCCTGGAAATTTCCACATATTTTTCAGCTGCAGTACAAAGCAAATAAATAGCTCTCATTCTCTCCGGCCTCTCTCTGCCGCTCCTACCCTAGTCCACCCGCAGCTGGTTACGGTAGTAAAAACGTGTTTATTTTACTCTATTTCCTCAGCTTTCTTACTACTGCAGTTTTTCTCGTCTGAGGGTGATGGTGATTGATGAAATCTTTCCCTCTTACTCTTCAGGAAGCAGAGCGGTGTGATTCAGCTAATGTGATAACCTTATATTACTGAACCTTTGGAGGGAAATATCTATTGATTTGTGTACTTTACAGAACTTGGCTGCTAGTTGAATATGAACAATAGGATCTTACAGATGCTGCTATAAGTAGAGTACAGAATAAATGTAACCACCAAGGTTTGCTACTCCATAGAGTTTTACATGCATTTACTGTATCTGTTTCTGTTCAGAGATTACTCAAGACTTCTGCGTGTTAATAGTTTTACGTAAAATGTTATTGCTTTTTATGAATAGTGTGAATAAAATTACTTTGGTTTCTTGACTATCATTTCTTTGTATTTTCTCATTGATCACTTCTAATTTTTGGGGGGTGGGGTGGGAGGATGCTAAGGAGGTAAACCTGATCTCTGGAAGAAATAAGGATAGAGTGAAATAATTATGAGCTGGCACCAGACAGTTTATTCAAGGCTGACATGATTTGTCTCTTTGTAGAATTCTTTTGTTATGTGTTCATCATACTATAAATCTCAAGAATGATGTGACCTCATAAACCAGCAGATCTCATACTCTTCATTCGTAAAACCTTTGTGGACCTTCCACTGTGCGCTGTGCCCTCTGGCTTCCTGGAAGTGTGCTTCTGAGAGCATGCATCACCTCTCAGCTACGTGGACTTGGAGGCCTGTGGCAGGGTTCCTGCTTTCCATACACTGTTGCTTACTCGGTACAGGATCCAAGCTTTCCATCCTTCTGTGTCCAGCTCAGGCCTGACATGAACTCATAAAGCATATTATGCCTCACTTTACTAGCATCAAGATCTCTCTCATCTGCAAGGATACATTGTCTTTTGGGTCACACTTTGAAATGGTTCTGGAAGCTTTGTTTTTCTGGAAACTCCTATCTGTAATAAGAATGAATGATGCAATAGGGCACTTGAGAACTTGGTATTATTATGACATTGGCTGCCCATACACCGCCATTCTGTCTTCACAGCAAAGCCTGACAGTGCCTACGATTTGCATTTTAAACCTAAACCCGTGTCTGGCTCCCAGGGTCCCACACATGGGTCCTACCATGTCTGTCAATCACATTGCCTGCTCTCCAGTCATTACCATTAAATGGATACATTTATGTCCAATGCAAACATAAACCTTACTAAAGGCTAGGTCCAGTACTACCTTAGGAACTGCGTAAGTTTATGTTGATGGCAGAAAGTTTTGTTTGGGTCAGAGATGTGACTTTAAGCCTCATAAGTTACTTAGAATAATTTCAGATAGCGTTTCTGAGAAATTATGATGTTGTAAATATATATAATAAGGAAAATGTTTAATTTTGTCCATCAGTGTTTAACGAAGGGTCAGAAAGTGTAGAGTTAGATATTCTTGCTGGGCTGGCTATGGCTCAGGGGCAGCACTGGCCCCGACTTGATTCCCAGCATCACAGAAGTAGAAAAGGCATTCTCCTTCACTTTGACATCAATGCCAAGCGTGAAAACATTTATTTTTTTAATTATTTAACTTTATCTTATGTGCATTGGTGTGAAGATGTAAGATCCCCTGGAAGTGGAGTTACAGGCAGTTGTGAGCTGCCATGGGAGTGCTGGGAATTGAACTTGGGTCCTCTAGAAGATCAGCCAGTGCTTTTAACCACCGAGCTGTCTCTCCAGACCATGAAAACATTTCTAATTGTGGTGTTCCTCTTAATCTTTGATGCTTCTAGTAGCTTGGACTCCCCCTTTGACCTTTATGTACTGTTGCCGGTCTCTCAGGAGAAATCCCACTACCAGCATTCCTGACCACAGTGACGGTTCTGCATGGCATCCTTCACACAGTCAATTCTAATTTCTCAGTTTTTTTCTCTAGCCTTTAAATTTTTAAAAAATTATTTTAAATTTATATTTATGGGTACGAATTCTCTGTCTCCTTCTGTCTCTGTCTCTCTGTCTCTCTCTGTGTCACATGGATGAGAGCACCAGAAGGGGTCAAATTCCCACAAGCAGAGTTAGAGGTGACTGTGAGCCTTCTGACATGGGTGCTGTGAGCCAAACTCTAGTTTGAGTAGCAAGTGCTTTTAACTGCTGAACCATTTCTCTAGCGCCTAGCCTTTTATTTCTTTTCTTTTTCCTCCCCTCATCTCCTCTCCTTCCTCTCCCATGCTCATTCTCTCCTCTCCTTCCTTTTTTTTTTTTTTTTGGTTTTTCAAGACAGGGTTTCTCTGTAGCTTTGGTGTCTCCTCTCCTTCTTACCCCAGTAAGAAACTCCGCCAGTCTGAGTTTGAAATGTCACATCCGCTGAAGCATCTCTGGAGGCTCTTAGGGCCAATAATCCGTTCTGCAACTGTCCAGAGACTGAGCTGCAGGGCTGTCAGGATGGCATGTCCTCAATCTCTGTCCTCGCCATATTGGGAGCAGAGCTGGCAATGCTCAGGATGCTCCCTCAGTAATGTGTCTTCCCAGTAAACACCATCAGCTATGATATTCTACAGTCATGAGGAAGCACGACACTGAGGATCTCACTGGCACTTTCAGGCCTCTATCTTGACTCGATTTAAATACCTAAGTGTTCCATAACTGCTCGGAAATAACTATTAAAGTATCTCTCAGTATTCCTTTAGCCAGCTCAACATTTCTGCTACATGATCTTTTTCCCTAGGGAGAGTATCTAGAAAGCAATCTACAAGGCAGGAACAACTTACTTTATGTCGATCTTGTACAACCAGCACTTTTCCGGTGCTATCATCAAACACAGCACCTTTGGGGGGAAAAGATAATTGCAGAACATTAATTCCATTCGCCTTCAACTCCTCCCACAGTCACCTTTGGTCATTAGAATCCCACCCATATTTGAAGGTCCAGATACCTCAACCAAGAAGACTGTGAAGCACTTCTCCGCTAAGGAGAGCATTGCTCAGCTGACCAGTTTTCTTTCTTTTTCTCTTCTCTCCTTTCTTCCTGTTTGTTTTCTTTCCTTCCTTCCCTCAACAATTTAGAACTCCCAGGGTAGTTACAGCCGATGTTAAACTTGTACTAGAATCATCTGCATAACTTTTACTATAGATTGTCTATGTCTCATGGCACAGATGAACATCTTTTTCATACTTTAATAATTCTCTTTGGTGTTAAGTTATGAGACACCATCTACTGAGTGTTTAGAACTTTCTCTGTCTCACAGATCTAGAAGCTAAGAAGTCCAGAATCATAATGCCGATACATGTAGTGTCTCAGAAGGGCTGCTCCCCAGAGAGAGCGCCCCCACAGGGGGAAGGGGCTCTAATGCCTTGCTGAAGCTCTGCCCATGGGATATAGCCATCTGTGCAGGCCTCACCTACTCATGCAGCACCTGGGGACAGGGTCTCTAATCCTACACAAGCATTCATCCCTCAGGACTCAAAGCACTGAAGACACAACTGCACTTCTTGCTCTAATTCTTACTCCTGAAGCACAGTGCAGGCCTCTGCTTCCCGAGAGAGATCCCGACTATCTTGATATCCATCAAGACCTGTCTGAGACCAGTTCCGTTTCCTTACTGTGCACACATATATTTTATAGCACACTCATGCATGGAAAGCTTTATTCTCTATGTGCTTAAAGTTCCAATCTAGCACTTTCATTCCCCCATTCATCATGCACACTGCTCAGTACACTGTGGACTCTGCTAGATGTTAGGACCCAGACCAAATATTTCTATAGTATTTAAATATTTTTACCTTTATATTTGTATGGGTGTTTTGCCTTCATGTATGTCTGTACCACGTGCGTGCGGTACCTAAAGAGGCCAGTGAGGGTGGTGGATACTCTGGGACTGGAGTTACAGAGTATTGTGAGTTACCATGTAGGGGGCGGGAATCAAACTCCGATCCTCTGGAGGAGCACAAAGTGCTTTTAACTTCTGGGCCATCTCTCCAGCCCCTGTTTTTAGTATCTTTTGTTTGGGCAATCCTGGGTCAAAACAATAATAACACTTTAATGATTTGTAGTAGATTCCTTGACATGGGCTAAGTTAACCATATCCATATATGAAGGCATTTTCTATATACTTACCCATTGTTTCAACATTCATTGAGTCTTTTTATATAACAGACAGAAGTCCTTTGTGTATTAACTGAGCTCCTGTTATGCAGGAGGCATTTCAGCAGGTGCTGGGGATACAGTGGTAAACACGGCAACACCTCCTGAGACCTCATATCCTGCTGTGTGTGGAGGGGAGACAAACTGAAGGTAAGCTACACAGAATGTCAGAGAGGCCACGCTTGTGAAGAGCAAGCTTGTTTGTAACTGAGGGCCAGAGAGATGCTCAGAGGTTAGGAACCTATACCATCCTTGCAGAGGCCCCAAGTTCAGTTCCCAGCACTCATTTCAGATGCCTTACAACTACTTGTAACTCCAGTTCCCGGGATCTGATGCCCTTCCCTGGTCTCTATGGGTACCTGCTCACACATGGCAGACACGAACAAACACATGCTATAAATAAAATTTACTTTAAAAATTCAGCATTAAAAGGACCTGAAATGAAACACTGCACTTGGTACTTGGAGGCAGGAAAGGACACCAGTAATTGTAATTAACTCCAGTGAGGGAGGGGTCGAAGATGCCAGTCTCACTGGACTTTCCAAGGGTTAGAATGCCAAGAAACCTATTTTTAGATCTGAAGATTTTGTGATTCCCTAGCACCTCTTTTCTTTAATGTATTCACTACCGTCATAAATATAGAGTGAAAAGATATTAAACACAATTGGAGCGACCCCTGCTGGCCACAGGACAAAGCATAGAGCAATATGGGATTAAAAGGAAGTTCCTTTCTAGCACATTAGATAGACATGGTGTGGTTCCTGTGCAGTAGCTCAGACATTTGTCATATGGTCACACGAGTGTCCTAAGAAGTGACTGAGTTCACACAGCCATCTGTGGGAGAGCTGGGCTTAATAGTCACGCTTCATTTCAAGTGAGCACTCTCATGGACAGCATTGCTCCATTAAGATACAGCAACTGTTCCGTACTTAATGATGTCACCATCCATCTATCATCCATCCATCCATCCATCCATCATCCTTACAACCCACCCACCCACCCATCCATCCACTCATCCGTCATCCATCTATCTACCCATCCATCCATCCACTCACCCACCCACACATCCATCCATCTACCCACCCACCCACCCATCCATCCGTTCATTCATCCACCCACCCATCCATCCATTCATTCATCCACCCACCCACCCACCCACCCATCCATCCACTTATTCGTCATCCATCCATCTACCCATCCATCCATCCACCATCCATCATCCTTACACCCACCCACCCACCCATCTATCCATCACCCATGGTATACTGGGTGCCTACTTTGTACTTGGCTCTGTATTTTCTTGAGGAAACAATGGTGAACAAGACACAACATGTCTGGCTTCAGGAAGTTTGCATATTGTTGAGGAGAGTAAGTACATTCATAACTTTGGGTTGCTTTGGATGCTATGAAGAGAAACAGATCTGGATAAAGTATCATAGACTGGTGGAATAGGCATGGAGGAGGTCCCTATCTTAGATAGGAAGTTTGGGAGCTTTTCTGAAGTCAGCAAAATGCTTCCAATGCAAGCATGGGAAACTGGATCCAGATCCTTCGCTTCCACATAAAAAGCCAGGCACAGTGCATCTGCAGACCCAGTGCCAGAAGGTGGAAGATCCTCTTGGCTTGCTACCTCACCAGCCTAGCCAAATCAGTTGCTCTTGGTTATAAACCACAAGGCAGATGGCACCCAAGGTGGCCTACACACACACACAAACACACACACACACACACACACACACACACACACACACGATGGCTTTGCATGACTTCCAGTGAAGCATCAGCCTATCACCAAGTGCAGGGGAAGAAGGCTACAGATAGAGCATAGTACTGGACATTCCCATAAGCTCACTTACAACACTTTAGATATGCAAACCAGCCTAAGACCACATACAGATTACACGCAAAACCCAAATTACTAAGGTAGCCATTAACCTGCATTGTTCTTTTATTTATTTAAGAATTCCTTTCTATTTTAGTTTTTTTTCCCCCCTGCAAACCTAAGAATTCCCTTAATCGTGGTCACAAAGGATGGTCCTGAGAGCTGCATCAACAACAGCTGGCACAGAGAAATTAGCAGGAGTCAGAATCTTGGGGATGGAGGTGGCTGCTCATTTGGCAAGCCCTCTAGGAGATTTTAATGACCTCTGCAATGAGACTTTCCTGTTCCGAAGCCAATGGGGAGTTCAAGGCTCTACATTAGTTATGTTCTTCTCTCAAACCACTACCATTCGGCATAGAAACAATGTAAAAGTGTTAGGGAGGAACAGTCAAACTGCCTGGCCTCAAGTTCAACCTAGAAGTTATCCTGCATGACTTTACACATTTAGTGCGTATTTAATACTAGGATGTGTGAAACAACCATGAGCGTTGTCATAATCAAGATGGGGTTCCTTGTGTCAATCCTAACAAAAGGAGATAAAGCTGGGAGATTAGGCAGACAAGTTCTTAATATGAATGCCTGATAATAACGATTACGAAGAACTGCTGGAACCAGAGCTGGCTGAAGCCAGCACAAAGAGTACCCCACGCCACCATTATCCTTACTGTCTGTGTGCAAGGATTACTCTTTTAAGTACCTGCTCTAATAGTCTCAATTTATCCCCCACCCCCACCCCGGTGTATGAGACTCTGGCCATGATACTACAGTACATCTCTACTTGGCTCCTGGAGAGAAGCAGCAGGTTAGGAGGGAGCAGCTGCTAAGCCAGGATGGGACATGAGTCAAGTTCCAGTTGGCAGCTGTCTTGACTGTGCCTACCTACAGAGAGGCCCATAAAGTGATGCCATGGCCAAGACACCATGCATATGTGAGAGGACAGACCTAACCCCTGCCCTGTTTCTCTGTACTATCCCAGGTAGGGAAAATCTGGCTTCTTGTTGTCACCCTGCTCCCCACCTGCATGGGAAAGGTAAGTCAGATCCACTAGGAAGACAGGGCAGATAGCTCTGAGAGAGAGAGAGCGAGCGAGAGAGACAGAGACAGAGACAGAGAGAGTGTGTGTGTTCTGAGCATGCCTGTGTCTCAAAGAGCCCAAGGACACTCAGCCCAGCACCCTGACTGAAAGAATATCTCATGTACTCCAAACATATAATGCAAGGAAGACCTGGGAGATTGTGCTTCGGGGTTTAAAGTTTTTGCAAAACAGATTCAGGCACTGTTGAACAAAACATTCATACACAAAAATAAATCTAAGGGCTGAAGAGAAGGGTCAATTGTAAGATTACTGTTGTTCTTGCAAAGGGCCTGAGGTCAGTTCCCAGAATGCACATGGGGGCTCACAACCACCAGTAACTCTAGTTCCATTTGATCTGACACCCTCTTCTGTCCTCTGCCAGCTTCAGACATGCATGTCGTGTGCTTACATGCATACTGCAAAACACTCACACACATAAAACAACTGGCTGGGTGTAGTGGCACATGCCTTCAATCCCAACACCCTGGAAACATAGGCAGGTGGACGCTGTGGGATGGAGGCTGGCAGGACATACATAGCGAGTTTCAAGCCAGCCAGATCTTGTCTCAAAAAATGTTTAATTGAAAAAGAGGCCAAGGACTGGAGAGATGGCTCAGAGGTTAGTAGCACTCCCTGCTCTTCCAGAGGACCCGAATTCAATTCTCTCAATTTTATCTTTTAAAACTTATTCTTGCCTCCTTGAATATGCTCCAAATTTACTATGACATGTGTATTCTATTGCAATACACTTGAATCACAAAAAAGTAACTTTCTGGAGAATATCATTGTTTTTTTGGGGTGACATATGCTTTATTTCCTTATCCCAATTCAGTGCCACCCCTGAGAAGTGGCGGTCAGTCATCTGTGTGGAACATGCCCAGTGTGGCCTTTGGGAAGCCCACTCCTCCCCTGTTCTCTGTGCCACCCTGTGATTCACATGACAGACAGCCTTTGCTGTTTTAAAAGCACGATGCCACAGTCACACAGTGCTCACTGAACCAGCATCCATGGACAAACTCGCGGCTCAGCTGCCAGAAGACATGGCAAACCTATGAAAAGGTATTTCTGGTAGGCATGGCTCTGAAACTGACCTGCAACTCCTACTTGGTGTGTAGCGTATCCTGGCAGTCTGCTGGGTCCTTCTCCCAGCCAGAGGGTCAGCGTGGAGGAATCGGATTCTGCGTGGTGGAAGTGAAAGCCCAGGGAAGCGGCAGGGGCGATGAAGTGGCTTTGCAGGATGGGGACGTGCAGCCATGCAGCTACCCTTCCTTCAGAGCGCCACCGTTGGATGGCAGCTAGAAGAGAGGGAGGGAGATAACAATCTGTAAATCTTTTCTGGGACGTGAGCAGTCACTACAGCCCAGTTATGCGATTCTTCTTCACCTATCACTGTACTGGTGTTTATAACCATACCTCCTAAGGACAGGTCAGCACACAGCAGGTGTTCAGTCAGCATAAAGTGGACTTCAAGGAAATATGGGCTTAATGATTTCTTAGTTTCTTCTTTCCAGTGTTGGGGACCAAAGCTAGGGTCCTGCATGCGCTACAGGACATACCACCACCGAGCCACATCCTCAGTCCATTCTGTTTCTTTTAATGCCCTTAATTTTATCATTCTTAATGATAATGTTTTTTTAACCCTTCCTGTGAGAGTTCCGATGTTAATTTTTGGTTTACAAACTGCAAGGTGGTTAAAAATAGAAGTAAAAAAAGTCAGAATTCTCTATTACTAGCTTGAAGAAATTTTAAGTTCTTTTTCTTCTGATTTTTGATTTTCACATGTCTACAGCTTATATTATGCCCTTTATAATATGTTAGATATTAAGCAGTCGATAATAGGAAATATCACTATTCTTACAGTGAAAGTGGATTTCTCAACAGCAGCAGCTTCCTTCATGTATCCTATGCTACCCAGCTAACTTTTACTCTAAACATTTGTTATTTAAAACTCTCTTTATTGTAAACACCATTCTGAATATAGATAGGTTTTCTATTGAAAGACCCTACAGACCCCCTCCTCAAAACCCACAGCTAGCATGCTCCCGGGGGGACGTCCTGTTTGTTTTAAACAAATCTCCGGATCAGCAGCCAGCCTGCTCCCGTTAGAACATCCCAGGTGCCTGAGAGAACAGGAGATAGAGATAGGAAGACTGCAAGGCAAGATGTCAATAAGATAGGATGTCAACAAAGCAGGTTAGCTATAAGATAGGAACAGGATGATTGTTGCCAGGCATCCATGCTGAGAGAGGAAACCTTTCATGCCCCCCCGCCACATTCCGATAACCACGCTTTTGCTTCTGTAAACTTGCTTCTTGCTGACACCCCTGCTGAGAGGGGAAACCATTCGTGCCACGGCCTCATTCCGGTCGATCGATAACCACACTTTTGCTTCTGTAAACTTGCTTTTTGCTCTTCCCTATAAAAAGCCCGCCCTCCAGTTGGCAGGTGCGCAAATCTTCCGAGAGATCTTGCTGCCCACAGGTACCTGTGTCTACTCAATAAACCTCTTGCGATTTGCATCCGTGCGGTCTCGGCCTGTTCCTTGGCGTCGGGGAGGTCTCCTCCCGAAAAGAGGTCCTCATCGAGGGTCTTTCACTATCTTAGAAATCTTTAATTATTTTATTTTCCTGTGAGATTAAGGCAGGGGTGGTGGCGGGGAGGGGCTCACTTCCTTGAGCCTTAGGTGTCTTAGAAGCTCCTTGTCAGCCAAGAGCTCAGACCTTGAAAGACCTGTGACTTGTGGGCGGGGAAATGCAGTGTCACAGCTGAGACCTCAGCAAAGCCTCTCAATCACTGCTCACTCCCCCGCCCTTCATCCCACCTTGGTTCCCAGGTACGTCATTATCCATTTCCTGGTCACCTGCCTTTCTCTTCTCTTCCTTGGCCTTAGGTAAACTTCTCCCTGCTAAGGATCATGGGCTCACCATCTATGGAGGTCAATTTTCCTAGCACAGTGACAAGTTGTTGGTCCTTAAGAGACTTCTTGATTCGATCCAGCATGAACTATAGCTACAGAATCAGATTCAGATTCTTCCAACTGAATCATTTTTAGTTGAGGTATAATGGCAAAGAGCAAGGTGCCTTTGAAGAATTCTGACCTCTTGCAGACACCATAGCCAATAAGAACATTTCTACCACACATTCGCCCCCCCCCCAGTCATGGTAATTACTTCTGTAATCCTGGTGATCTGGAAGCAAAGGTAGGAGGGTCATGCGTGCGTGATAACATTTGCCTGCCTCAAAACTCCTCTGCCAAGGAATAGTCTACATAGGGCTATAATATGTAGGGTGATAGCACACTGTAATCCTAACACCTGAGCTGTCCGGAACAAAGCAGCAGTGACCGGATAGTGACCTTTACGTGCAAACATGCTTTAGCAGCCATCACTAACACATTACAATGTTTAGTCTCCTCCAAGAGACAGGCATCCTATCAGGCTTTCTTCTCTGATTAGTTCTTCTTTACAGGCACTGACGGTTAGCTTTGTATGACTCCATCACAACAAACTACAAGTAACTCATAGAGCAGCGTGGAGAAAACACAGACCCAGAGCCAGGGGAAGGTACACACAGCCTCCGTGCCTTGGTGCCATGGTCAACTGGGATGAGCGTGTACGCTTCAGGTTATGAAGATGACATCAACTCCTATTTGTTAGAGTCTTAAAACGATAATTACAGTGAAATGTTTTATTAAAGAAATGCAAAAAAATTGTACTTCATAGCTGAGGGATTTCATTCAGGTTGTCTTTTGCTCATCCATCCCCAGTAACTAGGGCTGGCTAGCACTATTCACTAAGAAGTCTTTTCAGGGGTCATCTGGTTAGTGCCTGGGAAAGCTCGTGGAACAGTCTGGGACTTAAACCCTGGACACGTTTCCAAATCCAGCCCACTTTCTGGAGTGGCGCTTGAATTAGCACTGGTCACCGGCACTACAAATCCACACGTGTAAACATCCCAGCGGATGCGTGGATCCGATTCTCCCACTGGGGCTTCTCAGCACTTACTAGCAGGAGAGATGATGTGAAGCGGACTGGTTTGACGAGGAAGGTGACGCAGCATTAGAGATGCTCACTTGCCATGCTGCTCACAGGGTAAGTAAGGTTCATCTGTGGTTGCCTGGTTGTGTGCAAAAAACCTTTCCACAGCCGAACTTCCATACTTTGTTTTCAGTTTGAAAAACAGACTGCTCGAATAAACCACACTTATCCCAAAGTTAGGGCTCCTTCTCTCAAGCTTCCTTTCAGCTACTTGGGCTCATCATATGTTCCTATTGGAAACAGCAAAGCTCTGGGGGTAGAAACAAGCACTGGTTCTTGACCTGTCAGCTCCTACCTGCCCCGACTGGGAGACGGTTTTGCCTATCAAAGACCGTGACAGAATCTAAGTGCCAGCAAAACTAAGGCTGCAAGGTAGCAAACAGTGAGCTTATCAGCATTTCCTAAGAGTTAAAAGTGTGGGTGCAGCGAACCAGCGGCAATCGCAAGGGCGAATATCCAGAGTTTAGACCCGGACGTGGCTGAGGGCACTTGCAGGTCACAGCTAGAGGACTGCGGGGTGTCCTTTCAGCTTTCACTTCAGAGCCCGCACGCTCCGCCCTGGTTTCCGGGGCCCGAGTCCCGCACTTGCCCTCCAAGAGCCTCCGGAAGGCGGCAGCGTCCAGCCCGTGTAGCGCGCGGTGCCGTGCCAGATGCACCGAGACGCCCCCAAATCTGTCCAGCTCGCCTTGCAGCTCGCCCGCGTCCCGCGGGCTGCCCGAGGCTGCGCGCGCCCCTGCTCGGAGCCAGGCTAAGCCCGCACGGAGGAGCGGCGACCGCCAGCAGCCGGCTTCCTGCAGCCACCTCATCGTAGCGCCTAGCCAGTCCGACTCCTGACACACGCCTCCGCCCCGCCCACGCCTGCCTCGCATCGTCCCGCCCACGCCCGAGTCTCACCGTCACGCCCACACCCGCCCCGTCCACCTGGCCTCGCATCGCCCCGCCCAGTCCCGCCTCGCTCCCCTCGCATTGCCCCGCCCACGACCGCCTCACCCCGCCCATATCGCATAGCTCCTCCCACGCCTACTGGCTCTCCCCGCCGGGTCTCACCGTCCACGGCACGCCCCGCCCCTTCTCGCCCCAGCCTCGTCACAGCCTCGCCTCTCCTTCCGGCGATCGCCCCGCCCCACCTCGCCGAGAACAATCTCGCGGCGTTTTCCGGCGCTCGCTCCGCCCCTCTCGCCGGGAGGAGGGCTGACCGTAAACTCTAGAAAAGTGTCGCCACCCGCTGAGACTGAGCCGGGTTTCCTCTTCGGCGGCAGAGTGCAGCGGATTCGACCGTGGAGTGTCTTCGGTGGCTCCAGACCGGAGAGAGGGGAGAAATTTTAGTGTTTTTTTTTTTTTGGCTACTTTTACCGACACTTGCTTCGGGTCTCGGCAAAGCGGCGGAGCACCCTCAGTCCGCTTTTCAGGGGTTCATAGCGTCAACGAAGGTTCCCGTTCTACGCCCATCTTCCTTTACGAAAGCGTCACGAGAGCCCCTCGCTCACCAGCTCAGGCTGCGCTCTACGTGGAGCTTTACGGACGAGCGCGCCGAGCCGCTGACCTCTGACCCGGAAGTTTTCTCCCCGAGCCGCGCACGTTGAGCCGGCTTTGGCTCCGGTTTGTTTCCGACAGCCTGCGGTCATGTCTTCCAAGAAGAACCGAAAGCGGCAGAAGGAGAGCGCCGAGGGCACCTCGCCTTCGCTGTCTGCTGCTTCGTCTCGCTCGGGGACGCCGGGTCCACTGGCCCGGCCTGACGTGGCGGCGCCGGGGATGCTGGTGGTGACCAACTTCCTCGAGAAAGGTGAGGAAAGCGCGGGCAGCGGCGAGGCTGAAGCGCCCGAGGGCGGTGCGGCGTGTGCAGGTGGGCGTGACCCGGGAGCCCGCGGGCTACGGCGAGCCCGGCCGCTCCGACCCTCTTTGCACAACATTCCGAATTTTCCCCTTACTATTCGTCCTTCCTTTGCTTCCTCGGGCGGCGGCACCGGAGGGCAAGTCCCTGGGCCTTGCCGAGCGAGACTAGCAGCCCCGCTATGGCCGCGCTCGAGATGGCCTCGGCTCCTTGGAGATTTTACTGCCCAGCTAACCCTGCAGTAATGGTTCTTACTCAGCAGGCTGACGCTAAAAAGCCAGATAGCGGTTTTTGGTGGGGAATCCGTGCTGCCTAGCAGACAGCGTCGTGGCTTTAGGAAGGACGGCGCTTTCTTCATTGACCACGCAGGTTCTGATATCTAGTTGTTGCTGTTGGTGCATTGCACACTAGCGGTAATGGTCACACGCACAGCTCATCCAGTTTTCGCAGAAGCCGTGATGGATGAGCACCGAACGAGGGCCGTTTTACAGAGTAGAGAAAGCTCACTGGGTTCCATCTGGGTTACACAGCCACCAGGGGCAGGGTCCATGTTTGAGTTCAGATCTCTTTGATTCCAGAGCCGTTGTCTTAGATGAGTTTTGTTGACTTGGGTGAATGAACAGACTTAGATCTGAAAAGTCAAGACTAACTAGGGACTTGGTTTTTATGTTCGGTAAGACTTTAAAGACACTCTTAGCGTGAGCATAGTGTTTTTATTCTGACATAGAAATTAGAATACAGCTTGCTCTGTACTGTAGACTCGACCTCTTTTCAAGTAGACCTTCCCCGCTGTCGTGTACATACGTTCATGTTTCTTCTAGTTCAAACCTCTGGGAAAGTTCCACGATTTCTCCCTGCGACCACGCTCTGCACACCTTCTTACTGCCTGCTCATTAAATGGAGTGTTCTCCGCCTCCTTGTCAGTCCCACTCTCCTGGTCCTTTTTGACTTACATGCCATCGTCCCTTGGGAGCTGCTCTGTAGTGGTCACAGCTCTTCAGTGTTGGCAAGCCGAGTGCACGGTTTTCAGTACTTGCCTTTGGATGCTGGTGGCCTTTGGCATTGTAGGTCTCTTCCTCCTCAAAGCATTTTGCTGCTTACTTTATTTATCGTTAGACTTTCATAATTTTTCTCCATGTGCCTTGGTGATCATTTTCTTTGCAGGTTTCACCTCTTCCATCTGACTCCGAAATATTGAAGTTCCTTAATTCTTAAGTCTGATACCCTCTTTTTTCTCTTAATTTATGGCAAGGATATCCAAAGTTAAGTTTCTCATTTATATCATCTTCAATTTTGATTCATTTTTGTAAAGCATTCTGTTTTTTATTCTTGATTCAGTGTGTTTTACATTAGAATTTCTCAAGCACTTCCTGTGGCAAAGTTAAAAATGGCCAGTAGGTCACATATTGACAGTTTTGTAAAGTAGTGCAATTAGAAAAATAAATTTAAAAACCAAAATAATGATATTTATTGGGTTCACAGACACAGACTTTTATCTACTTGCAGTAAAAGTTTTAAAGTGATTGGTTTTGTACTTAACCTTATTATGAACTTGTTAACAAGTAGTTTGTAGATTATATCTTGAATAGTATTGTCCATTACTTCTTCCCTTAGTTTTTCATAGTCCCTGTAGAATCAATTTCCTAAGTCTTCTACTTCCAGTAATACAAACTTTAGTCCTTAAATCATTCAGAAACTGCTGGGCGGTGGTGGCCACACTTGCCTCTAAAACCAGCGCTCAGGAGGCAGAGGCAGGTGGATCTCTGAGTCAGCCTGGTCTACAGAGTGAGTTCCAGGACAGCCAGGGTCACACAGAGAAACCCTGTCTCAAAAAAGCAAAAAACAAATGGAAATCTAGGGATTAGACATAGCACAGCTTTCTCACATCTCTATCTGCTCCATTACTGAGTTGTGTATAAGCCAGATATTTTCTGTATTCCTTCTCACAGCGTTCCTGCTGCTTCTATGTCAAACCCAGACACCATCATCTTTCACCTGAACTGCTACAATGGCCTTTATTTGATTTCTCTCCTTGCAATTTTGTCCTCTTACTCTTTTTTCTACTTTGTAGTCAGAATGATGTTTTAAAATGGAAATCCTATAGTGATACTACTGTTCTTCCCCACGGTTTTCCATGGTTATTAGGATTACAGTTGGAATCTTGATGTAGTACACTACCCTGCATGGCTTTTGCCTTCCTTAAGCAACTTTCTTTGTTGCTCATCTTTTTTAGTCTCTGAAGAATGGATCATACTCCACAGCATCTGTGCTTGCTTTTCCCTTAAGAAAAATAATATGTTCTTCATAGTTAGTTATTCCTTCCTCCTCCATACCTGAATTTTAACACCACTTTCGTTGATTAGCATTCTCTAATTCTTCCTAATTAGGTCAGATCACACAGAATAGGCTAAGTCTCACAGTCAATTTGAGGTTGTATGGTCTTAGTTTGTAACTATACAGTTACTCAGAGCTCACTGGATAGCTAGTCCTACTAGATTACAAACTCCATGAGGCAATGGAGCAAGGGTGGATGATTGTTTGAAATTGACTTTATGAGCTGGTGAAATGACGGGGTGAAGATCTTGGGGCACAGACATAAGGACCAGATTTCAGATATCAAGCACCCATGTAAAAAGCTGGATGTGGAGGCGGGGAGGATGATTCAGTGGTAAGAGCACCTGCTTTGCAAGCATGAGGGCCTGAGTTTGAATCCTGAGCACCCATTTAAAAAGCCAAGTATGGTTGGGTGTGTCTTGTTTTTGGGAGCTAGAAACAGATGTATTTTGAGAGCTTACTGGCCCAGAGTAGCCAAAAACTATCAAGGTTCTTTCTGATTGAGTAAGGCCCATAACACAGAGTTATAATGTAGTGATACATACCTGCTGATTGAGTAAGGCCCATAACACAGTTATAATGTAGTGATACGTAACCTGTGGTGCGTGTGGAGGCTGTCTTAGTTTCCTTCCCATTGCGATAAGATACCTGGGAAAGCAGATCAAGGGAGAATGGATTTATTATGGCTCACAATTTCAGGTTATAGTTCATCATCACAGGAAGGCACAGTGGCAGGACCTTGAGAGAACCGTCCACGTTACATCCACAGTTAGACCAGAGAACAGTAAGGTCTTGTATGTGTTCATTTCTTCCTTTTGATTGTGAATGTAATGTGATTAGCTGATCCAAGCTGTGAGTGCGAGTTTGATCCTTGGAACCTGCATGGTATAAAGGAAAGAGTAGATTCCTTAAAATTATCTTCCACTACCCTGTGTATGAATGCACCTACTAAAAAGAACTGGTAGAATTCTGTGGTCAGCTTTAGTGGATTTGGATGTTATAAGCAGAGAAGTGTATAATAGTGGTATATTAAGACACAAGGACTTGGCTGAAAGTTTGTACATGAGCTCCATTAGC